TTGATGGGCATCTGGTTCTTTCCTTTTTTCTTTATTTATTATGAACAACAGTGCTGTGCGCGCTCTTGGGCGTGTCTGCTGGTGCCCATGGAAAGCATTTCTCGAGATAAAAGCACATACCTCAAGAGTGGAATTGCCTAGTTGTCGGTTCTGCGCCTCTTTAGCTTTGCAGATAATGCTAAGTTATTTTCCATAGCAGCTGTGCCAACATATGCTTGTAGTCGCAGTGGGCACGTGAGAGTCTGGGCTCTTCAACATTCTACCACTGTTTGGTATGAGGAGACTTTCTATTTTGATTTTTCCAATCTAGGAGGTAATAAAATCATATCTTATTGTGGTTTTAATTTGCAGTTCCCTGATTACTAATAAATTATGCGTCTTGTCACTTGTTTATAGGTCCTTGGGGTTTCTTTTTCTGTAAAATGCCTTTTGCTGATTTCTTTTGCTCATTTTTCCATTATGTTATTTATATATTTCTTACTGAGTTTTGGGGTTTTAAAAATATATTCTGGGTGATAATGGTCTCCTTCCTTCCTTCCTTCCTCCCTCCCTCCCTCCCTCCCTCCCTTCCTTCTTTCCTTCCTTCCTTCCTTCCTTCCTTAGCACTCAGCCACAGCAATCTGTTAAGTTATCCATTTGCTCTGGTTATTTAGGTATATTTTTAAAAAATCTTAATTTTAAAAACTGCTAATGTCCTTCTAGAAAATTACTCACTGGAAACAAAAGGAAAGCACCCTTTCCGTATTTTTCCAAGAATGTTAGTAAGTTTGATAGCAACTATTTCAGGCAGAGTCATTTATCAGTTGTTTGGTAAACATGGTAACAATGACTCTCAACCTTGGCTGCACATTAGAATCACTCAAAGGCTTAAAAAAAATCCCAGTGTCTTTTAAAATAACTAAAAGAGTGGAATTGGAATGTTCCTAACACAAAGAAATGTTAAATGCCTGAGATGGTGGATACCCCAATTACCCCAGTTTGATTCATTCACATCGTTTTTGCCTGTATCAAAGCATCACATGTACACTGTAAAGATATACAACTATTATGTGCCTATAATAATTAAAAATTTAGAAAAAGTTCCTTGTGTCCAAGTTGCACCCCACACCAGTTTAATCAGAGTCTTGGGGGGACCCAGGCATCATTCTTTTTTAAAAAAACTTCCCAGATTATTTCAAAGTCGAGAATGCTTGGTTTATAAAATGCTTATATCCCATTCAGAGTATGCTGCAGATTATGCACGGCGCAAACCCGGTGTTTGCAAGCTTGTTTGTGTGCCCCAGTCACCTGGAGCCCTTGTTAAATACTGATTCCTGGCAGCTTGGCCAGAGATTTATTTTGTTTTTTAAGAGACAGTCTCGTTCTCACTCTGTTGCCCAGGCTGCGCCCACCGTGTTGCAGTGGTGCAATCACAGCTCCCTGCAGCCTGGAACTCCTGGGCTGAAACGATCCCCCCCACCTCAGCCTCCCCAGTAGCTGGGACTACAGGCGTGCACCACTATACCCAGCTAATGTTTTTCTTTTTTATTCAACTGGAGATTTTGACCAGTAAGTTTGATGTGGAGCAGGGAATTTGTATTTTTAACGCACACCCCAGGTACCTGATTCTTATCAGACAAATTTAAGAAATGGCACCAAAGCTTTAAAAACTGGCATCTTCAAAATAGTGATTTAAAGCATAACTTCAATTTATAAGATAATTATGGCTTTAACTTTGGATTAAAAAAAAAAAACCTCTCGTTCCTGTTACCCTTTATAAAATATATGTTCTGCGAAACCACCTTGGGAGGAAATCGCTGCACAGATGTTCGGGAAGGCCCAGCTGTGTTTAATTTGAAATCTTCTGTTTAAATTCTCTCTCCATCACCTCACCAGTGGACAGTAACTCATCTCTGAGAGGTCTGTAAGCAAGGTTGTGGGTAGGAACTCAGGAGCTGTCATATCCCTAGGAACCGAGAGCTGTGTACTGTAAACAGTCTCTAGGATTTAGAGTTGTTAGTTTTTTTTTTTTTTCCCAGCCCTGGAATCTCATGGGGCAGTTGTTTAAGTTGGAACTCTCACAAAGCAAGGCGTCGGGAAATGGAATTCCACATACATCCAAATGCCACGTTTGGTGTCAGCACTATTGTTTTAACAGCTTACTTTTTCCCCCCTCAAATAACATCTGGGCTGTAAGAGGATGTTTCTCAAATCAGACACATTGTTTACTTTTAGGCTTGTGATGCTAAGGAGAAACTTGGTGACCCTAACAATTTAGATATTGGGTAACACGTCACCAAACTGAAAACACATGTCAGCCCATCTCTAGAGGTGGTGAACGTTGTAACCATTCTCTCTGCATATGGGAAGTGCATATTAAAAGTTCCTTTCTAAATGTCTGAAAACTTTAAGTGACATTTTTCTATCTGGGGGTCAACCATTGGAATGATAAAATACAGCAAAGTTATCTAATTCATTATGCTGACTTTTGAATTTATAAAAACTCCAGGGCATTAAATTTAGTTCTTCAAAGTAGAAATACGTTTTTTGTTTCTGCATAAAAGATGACTTACTCTAGGGTGATGGGGCCACATTGTGTGGCCGCAGTCTTGTGTTAAGAGTTCCGAACATGTCAGCGGCCCTGGCGCATGAGTGACAATGTGGGCATCGAGCAGTTCTCTGCAAAGCTGAAATGTGCTCAGCGTTCAGGATTGTAGTTCCAGAGAAACACGTACCCTGTGAAGGTTGTCCTATTTCCCTTTCTAGGGAAATTTCACGCATGAGTATAAATAATCGATGTGAGTTTACGAAGCCTTGGAGATTTCCCTATGGGGTCATTTCAGAGAAAAGTACGTTTAAGAATCCAGACCACCCTGAAGTAAAGCAGAAGGAGTCAGGCTGGAAAGAAGTTGGAACAAAGACAGAGTCACCCGAGAGGCCCGTGACGAGAGAGGTATCATTCATGTCTCTCGGTGACTTCGAGTGCTGCTCCTGTTCAGCATAGAAGCAGGGTCCTTCTGGATAAGATTTCATCCTGTGGCTTTCCCGGAGCAAGGTGACAGTGGCTTTCCTTAGGAGGCTCTGTGGCTCCCTTTGTCAAAAGCACAGTGGTTTTGCTCATCAAACCCCCAGCGCCAAGGCCAGGGCTTGGCATGTGTTAAGTACCTTAACTCATGTGTAGAAATTGGTAATTTTCCAGGGCTGGAGTGTCCTAACCAAGTCAGACACACCACAGTGAGTTTTCTTTTCTTTTCTCTTTTTTTAGTGTTCAAAACTTCTTTCAGACACCAGCGTCATTCAGTTCTACCCGAGCAAATTTGTCCTTATCACCGACATACTTGATACATTTGGTAAGTCCCAGTCACATCCGTCTTAAATCTAGGAAATGCGTGTCCTGTTCCTCCCCTGCTGGGTTTCTGTCTCAGGAAATGGCACCGTCATGTGCCCAAGCTGGAAATCTGAAACTCTTTTCCCATATGCCCACGTCCAGTCACCAAGTTCTACTGTTCCGCTTCCTAAATCTCTGCCCAGGATGTCTGTTTTTCTCTGACTTCCCTGTTAAAACCTTGGTCCTAGCTGCAGTCCTCTCCTACCTGGATGGTGGCTGCAGCTCCTGTGAGATACTCTTGGGTCATCGTGGCTGCCCTGGTCCCATGCTCCATGCCACAGGTAGGGTGATATTTGGGAGCCCAGCAGAAACGTCTAGACTGGAGAGAATGGCCTGAAGGAGCAGGAGGCCCCTGTGCTGCTTGGCAGTGGTTGGTTGATCCAGAACATCATGCCATTAGCAGTTTGCTCAAACCATGCAACCCTCTAGGCTGTACATGATGTTCAGCAGCTGAAGAAGTAGGCAATGAGTTGCTTTCTCAGAGCTGAAGACATAGGAGATCAGGACAGAGACATTCACTGTCTTAGCAATGGGCCCCCAACCCAGCAAGTCTTGGCTGCAACTCATTGAAAGATCTAATGTGTCAGAAAACAAGATGTCAATCGGAGAGACCCATTCAGTTCTGTGATCCCAGTCCTGCCCGGGAGACTGGGGGCCTGAGTGTATTCGCTAAAATAAGTGGCAGAAAACCTAACTAGCCTTGGAAAAGGGGATATTTATTGGTTTATGCTGAAGAGTCCAGGAGTAGTTCTGGCTTCAGGTATGGCTGGATCCAGGAACTCCAACAGTATTATCAGGACCTTGTCTTTTTCTAGTACTTTCCCTTGGGTTGGCTTCATTCTCAAGCTTCAGAAGGCATCCGCAGCTGCTATCAGCTTTACAGCTGGTGGTCCCAGGGCAAGGAAAGAGCTGCTTTCTCCAGGCGTCTCAACAGAAGTCCCAAGGTTCCATCTCACTGACCTGGCTTGGGTCACACATCAGTCCCTGAGCCATTTGTGGTGTCAGGGGATGAGACACACTGATTATCCAGGCCTGAAAGAAAAGAGGTGATGCTGTTATCAGAAGAAAGGGGAGTAGATGCTAACTGGACAAAAAGAAGAGATGTCCCAGCTGAAAGATAGGACCTTTTGAGTTCAGGTGACTGGAGAGGTGGTGTCAGGCACTCTGCTGGGCACTGGGGGTGTATCAGCAGTAGAAGAGACAAAAATCCCTGCCTTTGTGGCACTTACATTTCAGTAAAAGAGAATTTGCAGAAAAACTAAGTCAACCTGGTTGTATGTTAGGTGCTGATCAGTGCTGTGGAGAAAACCAAACATACAGAGCGAGGTGGGGGGCAAAGGGAAATGGAGGGAACTGGGTTGGGGCGAGAGGTGGGCTGCGGTTTTAGGGTGCTCAGGGGAGGCCATGGTGACACGTGGCAGGAGCAGGTGCTGGAAGGAGGCGAGAGATGAGCCGTGTGGCTCTATGGTGGGGGGCCAAAGAGCAGCTGGTGCGCAGATCCTGGGTGGGGGCGTTGGGACGTGCCTG